CCACCCCGGTCCTCTATTTATACTGTAATCATTTTTCAATGTGGCAGTAGTAGGCCTAGTTGTTGTCATTGTTGTTGTTGTAAATGTTGTTGCTGTTGCTGCTTTTATTTCTTATTGTTGTTGAGTTTTCGGTTGCTGTTCTTGCTTTTTCTTGTTTCATTTGTTATTGAGGCCTGGGGGAGGGGGGCTTTCAAATAGCAAGGAGGGGGCCATCTAGTTATTTACAATGTTTGATGATACCAATTACTGTAAACTCTCTGATGATACTTTGAAAAATTCTTGGTATCGATACCTTTTTAACCCCACTGAAATCGTTGTCACCCTGGCAAGGACCGTGAGTCGGTGGGTGGCACTGAGGACAAGGCTATAGTACGACGACCACCACGACTATTTAATCCTTGTTCGCTGCTTCTCCACACAGATCCGATACGGATGTTTGGATTGATTACATCGCTATTGCCCACAGTGGTTTTAACCGAGGATAAATAAGCGACTTCCTCTGAATACGCATCGAAGTACTGACATTATTGACATTTCCTTCGGCTTTAGCCGAACGCAGTCAGTTGACTGTTTAACGCATTTATTACTTGTTTATTTGGATTGCTGGCTGTTATTTTTTAAACTAAATTATTGTTGTGGTGTTTCTTTTGCACGTGCCGAAGAATACGAAATTTTTACAATTTTAGAGTTCTGTTTTTGTGACATTAGATAGATTGGCTGAGTTGCCTACAAACGTTTGGAACTGCTAATTTTGCTGCTTCGTCGAGTGAGCCATGAATCATACGCGTTGTGGCATTAGAAAGAAAATCAGCTGTTGAAACCAAATAAAACGTAGAAAATTAAGTACAGATCTACTTTTTGCGCTGTCTCTTTTCTGATTTGAGTCATTACCAAAACCTGAGAGGTTTTGGGAGAATTTTTGCGCCTTCGAATAGCAGACTCATTCCAGCTACGTTTATGTATATAAAGTCCATAATTGGATGCAACTGTGCATTTGTTGACGATATGGGTTAAAATCTTCAGAGAGAGATGACAATATATAAAGAGAGAAAACAGAAAAGCAGAACCGTAACCAACTACAGTTAGACTGCTCTTTCTGTAAACTCGATGGACTCGGGTTAAACTAATGACAAAAGTATTTATTGATACCTACGTTTGAATACACAAAAACAGCCCTTCGTTTCCGAACTTCCTACTATTCTGTGGGCATTTCACGGCAAAGAGGACCCAATCTTTGCAGAAAAAGAAGCATACATCTGCGGATAAGCTTTTGTTCCGAATAAAAGTTACAGATACACAAGTTTGGATACACAGCCAAGATGATATCCAGGACTTTTCTGAACCCTGTGCAGCATATGACGTCAAGACATCCTCTTTGCGTTGTCTCAGGGGCGCTGCTTGTAATCATTCTGTGCTGTTTTTCAACGTCACGAGCTTACGTCACTCGGATCGAGCAGTGCGAACCGATCGAGATCCCTCGGTGCCGCGCCATGCCCTACAACCTGACGCGCATGCCGAACCTAGTGCACCATAGCAACCAGGTCAACGCCAGGCTCGTGTTCGAGAAGTACGAGGTGCTTATAGGTAAAAACAATAGTAGAAATAAAATAAACTATTTGAGATTTTTTGGTATAAGTTTGTTCCAAAAACTCTTCAAAGTCGTTAATCGTCTTCGAAGGCCCACTTGACCTTGTTATAACCAATACATTTCCCATTTCTTATTGGTTAATTCACCCAGACCCTTTTCCCATCATTTTCCTTGCCCCCCCCCTC